AGAACCTCAACACAAACACAGTTACGGTAAAAAAAAACACATTCCTTGTGCATTAAGTTATTATATAAAATGTAGTTTTAATGACAGTCTTAGTAAATTGTATATGTATTGTGGCCCCAATGCTGCGAGAAACTGTCTAGAAAATCTTATAGGGGATTGTAAATTTATTTACAACACATATTTGTCAAAAACGGTACCAATGATTTCATTGTCTCAGACGGAATTAGATGACTTTACTAGCAGTAGTGTCTGTCACATTTGTGAAAAAGCCTTGGGTAATGATCGAGTTAAGGATCATTGCCATTTAACTGGAAAATATCGGGGGCGGCACACAATGAATGCAATCTCAAATATCGTGTGTCAAAATTTATACCAATATTCTTTCACAATTATTCCAAATACGATTGCCATTTATTCTTCAAAGACTTAATGCAGTGTGATGGAGACATTGATGTAATTCCTTTAAATAAAGAACTATATGTTTCAACAAATGAATTATTAACATGAAAAATGATTTAAATGAAATGGTTGATCATAATTCTTCGGTGAATTCGAAAAACAAATGGCGGAATAAATTTGAACTGAGGTTCTTGGACAGTTTTCGTTTTATGTCTTCCAGTTTGGATAGTTTAGCTAAAAATCTACCTAAAAACGCATTTCAAGCTGTTCGTACACAGTTTCCAAATGATGCTGAGTTCAATCTGCTAACTAGAAAAGGAATTTTTCCTTATGAATACGTGTCTTCATTAGACAAATTATATGAACGACAATTGCCGGCACGAAATGAATTTTACAACAGGTTGACTGACAGTGAGTGTTCGCTAGATGATTATAGACATGCGCAGAATGCATGGAGACACTTTGAATGTTAAACTGTCAAAGATTATACGGAGTTGTATTTAAAACAGATGTCTTACTATTGGCTAACGTGTTCGAAAACTTCCGAAGTTTATTTCACAGTGCCATCACTATCTTGGGACGCCATGTTTCTGTGCACGGGTGTTGAATTAGAGCTATTTACAGATATTAACATGTATAGTTTCTGTAAAACTGGCATTAGAGGTGGACTTACATAATGTTCAAATGCCAATAGTAAACACACTGCGGACTATGACCCTAGTAAACCTGAGGTGAATATTTATTATTTAGACGTCAACAATTTATATGGTAAAGCAATGACACAATGTTTGCCACAAAAAGGTTTTTAGTTTTTAACACAAGAAGAGTTGGAACAATTCAATGACGTCAGTAAAATATTAGCGATTCTTAATGATTCGCCAACTGTTTTTTTTCTTTAATGCGGATTTAGAATATCCACAAAGTCTACATGACAAACACAATGATTTACCCTTTTGACCTGAATCCAAATGTGTCGGTCAAAAGATCAAAAGGTTGATTTCAGATTTGAATGACAAAATGTCTTGCACCATTGATTATAGAGTGCTTCAACAATGTATCCAGCATAACTTAATTCTTAAAAATCAATAGCTGTTTAAAGTTTACGCAATCCAACTGGCTTGCAGCATACATAATGAAATATAACAATCTCAGAGCACAAGCCACAGATGCTTTCGCAAAAAATTTTATAAATTTATGAATAATTCTGTTTATGGCAAAACAATGGAAAATGTAGACAAAAGGAAAATCGTAGAAATAAGAAACCATTGGGAATCTTATGGGAAGCGCTGGGGAGCACAAGCCACAGATGCTTTCGCAAAAAAATTTTATAAATTTATGAATAATTCTGTTTATGGCAAAACAATGGAAAATGTGGACAAAAGGAAATCGTAGAAATAAGAAACCATTGGGAATCTTATGGGAAGCGCTGGGGTGCACGGGAATTTATTTCAAAACCAAATTTTCATAGCCTAACACACTTTTCAGATGAAATGGTGGCAATTGAAATGAACAAAGTGAGGGTGAAATATGATAAGCCTATATACCTTGGATTTTGTATTTTAGAGTTATCAAAATGGGTCATGTACGATTTCTTGTATGTTTTTTTTTTTAAAGTAAAGTTTGTAGATGACTTCATATTTAATTATATGGATACTGATTCCTTCATACTAACTTTCACTAACCGCAACCACTTTGCTGAACTATCACGAGAGGAAATACTGGCAAGATTTGACACATCAGATTTTTCGCCATCCAACCCATATAATATAACACTTCTCAATAAATAGGAACTAATAGGAATGATGGACGAGAACTGCGGAAAGACGGTATCGGAATTTGTAGGCCTTAGACCAAAAATGTACCCTATAAAAGTCCACAATAGTGAAGAGGTAAAAAAATCAAAGGGTGTGAAAAAATTTTCTGTACAATCGAATAAAATATTATAATAATATGTATACATTTAGATCGAGGAAACATGAGATATACACAGACAATATAACAAAAGTGTGTCTGAGTTTCCAAGATGATAAAAGATTTATAGGAGAAGGTGGTGTAAGCACGTATGCTTGGGGCCATTATAAAATAAAAAATGATAATGAAGTGAATTCCGTGGTCCCAATGGAACTAGATTTGCATGCTGAAAATGTAAGCGATAATTCTATTTTTGAATTAATCGCAAATGTAAATAGTAATGATGATATAGATTTGGAAAATATAAGTATTTCTAATTTTCCTACAGAACTAGATGTAGATATAAGTAACATACCCCCTGTAAATACAATAGATATTCCTTTAGACGGGAATGACAATTCTATTTTTGAATTGTTGGGAGATAGAGATAATGAATATGTAAATAGTGAATCTCTTGATTTTTTACAATTTTAAAATTTTAATGAAAATGACTTTGTAAAACAAAAAAAAAAACTTTGTATATATTTAATAAAATATTTATTGCTGAAAAATAAAAAAAAATCAAACATGTAGTTTTATTTCACAAATATACTTAATATTAAGACATGGAAGTATAAATTACTTATACAGCTCTTCGAACAATTCCGGTTAAAGGTATGTACTCCACCAGTCGGTCATGAATGATTAGACAATATGATGAGGTGTTTTGAGGTATTGGGATATTGGTGGTAAATTCGAGTTTTAAATCAATTGGTCCATTTTTCACAGCTTCATTTTGATTGTTTATATCAATTACGGTAATTGGATTATGTTTAAACGTTGACTTGAAATCGGGTTGTAACCAGATAAAGCTATCATAACCTGATAGGAAAAAACTGCGGTTTCCATAAAAAACAGAAAACATTGAATATTTTCCACCGGTTCAAAGTTCCTTCCGACATGCATCGACAAATTTTCAAAATATGAATAGTACACTAAATAGTCACTAAATTCTAGGACTATAGTGGATGTTAAACCACAGCTACTACAGTAGTTCAATATGTTCCATGATACAAAAACCATTTATTGTGACAACGAAAAGTAACTTATCTCGCAGATATCGTGAATGCCCCACCCCTACACAGCACATCAAATGGGCAGGTAGAGCGCTTCCACAACACACTGATGGAAATAGCGCGAGGTCTTAAAATTGGCAAGAATCTGGACGATATCGATACCTTAAGCCACCATCGAGTATAATAAAATACATACGGTGACTGGAATGAGACCCATGAGCATCTTCCATTCAACAAAGGATGATGAACAAATTGTGTCACGGCTAAAACAGCCCAGGATAAAGAGTTAATAACTCACAATAAGAACCGACGTGACAGGGAATTTTTCGTTGGGGAAAAAGTTATCGTCAAGAAAAATAGGAGATTAGGGAACAAACTAACTCCCCTTTATAGTGAAGGAGAAGTCCAACAAGATCTAGGGACAATAGTTCTGATAAGAGGAAGGAGGGTCCATAAGGACAACCTTCGGTGAAGTTCCTTTCACTATAATGTATAGAAAGAACATATCTTATATTGGTCGTGAGTTAAAGGAAATATTGTTTACATTTTTTAGTATTGCCTTAGAATTGGTCATAGCGAATACGAGATACATTCCGGTAACCGGCGGGGATCTCGTAATTTGGGAAAACTTTGGACACATAAAACATGTTACTAACCTAACCTTATACGAATTACTAAGAGACGAGACAGTTAATGCTACAAACCACATTCCCCAAACTCATATGAGAAAGTTGCTGGATGCGGACGTAAACCGATAGTAACAGTATTAAATAATTTAGTAACTTCCACTATATTCCCAAAAATTGGAGATTTGAACCCTATCCTTTTAGATAGCAATGAAATCAATTTCACACAAAAAAAAAAACCAGCACTTCACAAACCTCTTCGTAGCCGACATTATGGCTGTATCTAAAATTAAGATTACACTTCAGCAGTAAGAAAATGCAGAGATACGATACCAACATTATGTTTGTCATCATCATTCATATCATGCGCTCTGGAACTAATGACACGTAACACCGCTAACTGCAGCACAACATTCAACAACCTCCCACCAATTACAGTCATAGGCGATGGTTTGGTGGTCATCAATGACATACTGGCGGTAGTAGAGGAAAACAACGAACCCCTTGTTACTGTCAGTGGTGCTTACCTAGTTATCTTCAATGATACGATGTATTACAACGAAAATTCAGCGACACCCCTACAACCGGATATTCCATGGGCTTCTGTGATTAACCTAACGCAACACACCGATGTACTAAGCACCTCCTATCTACATCATGTCAACAAACAAAATCTCCAACATATCCATCAACTACAACATGTGGTCTATCGAGGTCATATCGCAAGTTTATCGACTATTGGAATTCTATTACTTAAGGACTGGTTCCTTACTCACTCCGACGCAGGGCCTCTGCAAAGGAAAAAATTCTTATAAATAAATCTGTGGAGGTTGCAATAAAAAACGATAACGCTGGGACCATGGACGGCCCTAGTTTAGAAGGGGAGGAGTTATCGTGAAGAAGAAATCAAATTGTGTATTGTGACAGCTTTATCGGAACCAGCAGCAGCATGTGATAAAACTATTCCGCAATCATATAATATTATTATAACCGAAGATATTATATACTTGCCATCCGGGAAGATATTGAATTTTAGAGGACTTAGTTTCCCTATGGCGATAAAAAATATCAAGGATTTTGAGGCTAATAATGAAGATATAAGTATTAATGTCTTCGGCTATGATGGAAATCAGATAGTTGGACCCTACTATCTTACCCCAAAACGAAGGAATCATCATATTAACTTGATGCTTCTTCATGAGGGCGACAAGTTCCACTACATATTGATTATGGATATGTCACGGTAAGTTAAAATAGCACAGTAATATTACTATTAAATATGATAAATAATGAATATATCTATTGCTTTTTAGGTTATTACGTTCGCAGTTGACAGCACATAAAGGTAGATCAATCATTTGTGATGGTTGCATACAAAGTTTCACCACGGAAGCCGTATATGAAAAATATGAGAAGGAGTGTGTTGGGGTCGTAACGGATATGCCAAAGGAGGGAGAAAACATCATTCGTTTTAAAAACTACCACAAAAAAAAGAGAGTACTATTTGTGGTCTATGCAGATGCCGAATGTATCCTAGTGGATTGGAACCCGGAGAACCTCAACACAAACACAGTTACGGTAAAAAAAAAAACACATTCCTTGTGCATTAAGTTATTATATAAAATGTAGTTTTAATGACAGTCTTAGTAAATTGTATATGTATTGTGGCCCCAATGCTGCGAGAAACTGTCTAGAAAATCTTATAGGGGATTGTAAATTTATTTACAACACATATTTGTCAAAAACGGTACCAATGATTTCATTGTCTCAGACGGAATTAGATGACTTTACTAGCAGTAGTGTCTGTCACATTTGTGAAAAAGCCTTGGGTAATGATCGAGTTAAGGATCATTGCCATTTAACCGGAAAATATCGGGGGCGGCACACAATGAATGCAATCTCAAATATCGTGTGTCAAAATTTATACCAATATTCTTTCACAATTATTCCAAATACGATTGCCATTTATTCTTCAAAGACTTAATGCAGTGTGATGGAGACATTGATGTAATTCCTTTAAATAAAGAACTATATGTTTCAACAAATGAATTATTAACATGAAAAATGATTTAAATGAAATGGTTGATCATAATTCTTCGGTGAATTCGAAAAACAAATGGCGGAATAAATTTGAACTGAGGTTCTTGGACAGTTTTCGTTTTATGTCTTCCAGTTTGGATAGTTTAGCTAAAAATCTACCTAAAAACGCATTTCAAGCTGTTCGTACACAGTTTCCAAATGATGCTGAGTTCAATCTGCTAACTAGAAAAGGAATTTTTCCTTATGAATACGTGTCTTCATTAGACAAATTATATGAACGACAATTGCCGGCACGAAATGAATTTTACAACAGGTTGACTGACAGTGAGTGTTCGCTAGATGATTATAGACATGCGCAGAATGCATGGAGACACTTTGAATGTTAAACTGTCAAAGATTATACGGAGTTGTATTTAAAACAGATGTCTTACTATTGGCTAACGTGTTCGAAAACTTCCGAAGTTTATTTCACAGTGCCATCACTATCTTGGGACGCCATGTTTCTGTGCACGGGTGTTGAATTAGAGCTATTTACAGATATTAACATGTATAGTTTCTGTAAAACTGGCATTAGAGGTGGACTTACACAATGTTCAAATGCCAATAGTAAACACACTGCGGACTATGACCCTAGTAAATCTGAGGTGAATATTTATTATTTAGACGTCAACAATTTATATGGTAAAGCAATGACACAATGTTTGCCACAAAAAGGTTTTTAGTTTTTAACACAAGAAGAGTTGGAACAATTCAATGACGTCAGTAAAATATTAGCGATTCTTAATGATTCGCCAACTGTTTTTTTCTTTAATGCGGATTTAGAATATCCACAAAGTCTACATGACAAACACAATGATTTACCCTTTTGACCTGAATCCAAATGTGTCGGTCAAAAGATCAAAAGGTTGATTTCAGATTTGAATGACAAAATGTCTTGCACCATTGATTATAGAGTGCTTCAACAATGTATCCAGCATAACTTAATTCTTAAAAATCAATAGCTGTTTAAAGTTTACGCAATCCAACTGGCTTGCAGCATACATAATGAAATATAACAATCTCAGAGCACAAGCCACAGATGCTTTCGCAAAAAATTTTATAAATTTATGAATAATTCTGTTTATGGCAAAACAATGGAAAATGTAGACAAAAGGAAAATCGTAGAAATAAGAAACCATTGGGAATCTTATGGGAAGCGCTGGGGAGCACAAGCCACAGATGCTTTCGCAAAAAAATTTTATAAATTTATGAATAATTCTGTTTATGGCAAAACAATGGAAAATGTGGACAAAAGGAAAATCGTAGAAATAAGAAACCATTGGGAATCTTATGGGAAGCGCTGGGGTGCACGGGAATTTATTTCAAAACCAAATTTTCATAGCCTAACACACTTTTCAGATGAAATGGTGGCAATTGAAATGAACAAAGTGAGGGTGAAATATGATAAGCCTATATACCTTGGATTTTGTATTTTAGAGTTATCAAAATGGGTCATGTACGATTTCTTGTATGTTTTTTTTTTTTAAAGTAAAGTTTGTAGATGACTTCATATTTAATTATATGGATACTGATTCCTTCATACTAACTTTCACTAACCGCAACCACTTTGCTGAACTATCACGAGAGGAAATACTGGCAAGATTTGACACATCAGATTTTTCGCCATCCAACCCATATAATATAACACTTCTCAATAAATAGGAACTAATAGGAATGATGGACGCGAACTGCGGAAAGACGGTATCGGAATTTGTAGGCCTTAGACCAAAAATGTACCCTATAAAAGTCCACAATAGTGAAGAGGTAAAAAAATCAAAGGGTGTGAAAAAATCTGTTATGAAGCAGTACACCATTGACACGTATAGGGATTTTCTGTACAATCGAATAAAATATTATAATAATATGTATACATTTAGATCGAGGAAACATGAGATATACACAGACAATATAACAAAAGTGTGTCTGAGTTTCCAAGATGATAAAAGATTTATAGGAGAAGGTGGTGTAAGCACGTATGCTTGGGACCATTATAAAATAAAAAATGATAATGAAGTGAATTCCGTGGTCCCAATGGAACTAGATTTGCATGCTGAAAATGTAAGCGATAATTCTATTTTTGAATTAATCGCAAATGTAAATAGTAATGATGATATAGATTTGGAAAATATAAGTATTTCTAATTTTCCTACAGAACTAGATGTAGATATAAGTAACATACCCCCTGTAAATACAATAGATATTCCTTTAGACGGGAATGACAATTCTATTTTTGAATTGTTGGGAGATAGAGATAATGAATATGTAAATATTGAATCTCTTGATTTTTTACAATTTTAAAATTTTAATGAAAATGACTTTGTAAAACAAAAAAAAACTTTGTATATATTTAATAAAATATTTATTGCTGAAAAATAAAAAAAAATCAAACATGTAGTTTTATTTCACAAATATACTTAATATTAAGACATGGAAGTATAAATTACTTATACAGCTCTTCGAACAATTCCGGTTAAAGGTATGTACTCCACCAGTCGGTCATGAATGATTAGACAATATGATGAGGTGTTTTGAGGTATTGGGATATTGGTGGTAAATTCGAGTTTTAAATCAATTGGTCCATTTTTCACAGCTTCATTTTGATTGTTTATATCAATTACGGTAATTGGATTATGTTTAAACGTTGACTTGAAATCGGGTTGTAACCAGATAAAGCTATCATAACCTGATAGGAAAAAACTGCGGTTTCCATAAAAAACAGAAAATACGAGTTTTGTCCAATCATTTTTCAGAGGGCGATAGATTACGAGTTAAGGGAACACATCGGGACGAGGTGTATTGCTTACGAAAACGATGTAATCATATTCTCGAAAAAGGGAGCAACAACACTTATAAGATGTGGAATTAATACTGAGAAGTCTATTTGAAGCCGATACGAGGGTTTCGGCTGAAAAATTAAATTTCTTCCAAACTGAGGTTGAATAGTTAGGATTTCTAGTTTCCAAAGTGGAGTTAGAACAATTCCAAAAAAAGTCAATACAATTCTATATTTTCCCAAGCCTTCCACTCTAAGGGGATTAAGATCATTCTTAGGATTGGCCGGATATTACCGCTGTCTTACTAAAGACTTTGCCAAGATTGCAAAGCCACTCTCAAACATACAGAGGGGAGAATATGGCCGAGTTTCTGCATCGTAGTCGAAAAAATCAAAATTGATTTGACCAGTGAACAGAAAGAAGCATTCAACATAATAAAAGAAATCCCAACGTCCGAAAATGTAACGCTAACATATCCAGACTTTTGGAAACCATTTGATTTAACGACGGGCACTAAAGACGCTTAGATATTATCTCTACGGAGTATCAGATCTGAATGTATTCACAGATCAAAAACCACTAGCATTTGCCGTTTCGGACAGAAATCCGAACTCAAAAATCAAAAGATGGAAAGTATTTATTCACGAATACCATGCAAGGCGAATCTGCAAACCAGGAAAGGAAAATGGGGTCGCCGATGCGATATCTAGGCAACACATAAATGCCTTGGATAATGTGAGTGTAGATACAATTCATAGCGAAATATCATCAACTAACACAATTGAAAAAACCGACAAACCGGTTAATTGTTTTCGCAATCAGATAATCGTGGAAGAAGATATAGAGCCTCAGATAAGAACTTTTGTTTGAAAAACAAGGTACCTAATTACATTTCGAACAAAATCAGAGTGAGCAACAGGAAATTATAGCAACTGAACATAATCGAGCACATAGAGCAGCATGTCAAGCATATTCTGGAGGTCTATTTTTTCCAAAAACGGAAAAGAAAGCGATGCAGCTGGTGGCAAAAAGGCAGCTTATTGCCCAGACACCCATATCAATATATTGAGGAGAAGTCCTTCACATTGAATATTTTCCACCGGTTCAAAGTTCCTTCCGACATGCATCGACAAATTTTCAAAATATGAATAGTACACTAAATAGTCACTAAATTCTAGGACTATAGTGGATGTTAAACCACAGCTACTACAGTAGTTCAATATGTTCCATGGTACAAAAACCATTTATTGTGACAACGAAAAGTAACTTAACTCGCAGATATCGTGAATGCCCCACCCCTACACAGCACATCAAATGGGCAGGTAGAGCGCTTCCACAACACACTGATGGAAATAGCGCGAGGTCTTAAAATTGGCAAGAATCTGGACGATATCGATACCTTAAGCCACCATCGAGTATAATAAAATACATACGGTGACTGGAATTAGACCCATGAGCATCTTCCATTCAACAAAGGATGATGAACAAATTGTGTCACGGCTAAAACAGCCCAGGATAAAGAGTTAATAACTCACAATAAGAACCGACGTGACAGGGAATTTTTCGTTGGGGAAAAGGTTATCGTCAAGAATAATAGGAGATTAGGGAACAAACTAACTCCCCTTTATAGTGAAGGAGAAGTCCAACAAGATCTAGGAACAATAGTTCTGATAAGAGGAAGGAGGGTCCATAAGGACAACCTTTGGTGAAGTTCCTTTCACTATAATGTATAGAAAGAACATATCTTATATTGGTCGTGAGTTAAAGGAAATATTGTTTACATTTTTTAGTATTGCCTTAGAATTGGTCATAGCGAATACGAGATACATTCCGGTAACCGGCGGGGATCTCGTAATTTGGGAAAACTTTGGACACATAAAACATGTTACTAACCTAACCTTATACGAATTACTAAGAGACGAGACAGCTAATGCTACAAACCACATTCCCCAAACTCATATGAGAAAGTTGCTGGATGCGGACGTAAACCGATAGTAACAGTATTAAATAATTTAGTAACTTCCACTATATTCCCAAAAATTGGAGATTTGAACCCTATCCTTTTAGATAGCAATGAAATCAATTTCACAAAAAAAAAACCAGCACTTCACAAACCTCTTCGTAGCCGACATTATGGCTGTATCTAAAATTAAGATTACACTTCAGCAGTAAGAAAATGCAGAGATACGATACCAACATTATATTTGTCATCATCATTCATATCATGCGCTCTGGAACTAATGACACGTAACACCGCTAACTGCAGCACAACATTCAACAACCTCCCACCAATTACAGTTATAGGCGATGGTTTGGTGGTCATCAATGACATACTGGCGGTAGTAGAGGAAAACAACGAACCCCTTGTTACTGTCAATGGTGCTTACCTAGTTATCTTCAATGATACGATGTATTACAACGAAAATTCAGCGACACCCCTACAACCGGATATTCCATGGGCTTCTGTGATTAACCTAACGCAACACACCGATGTACTAAGCACCTCCTATCTACATCATGTCAACAAACAAAATCTCCAACATATCCATCAACTACAACATGCGGTCTATCGAGGTCATATCGCAAGTTTATCGACTATTGGAATTCTATTACTTAAGGACTGGTTCCTTACTCACTCCGACGCAGGGCCTCTGCAAAGGAAAAAATTCTTATAACTAAATCTGTGGAGTTTGCAATAAAAAACGATAACGCTGGGACCATGGACGGCCCTAGTTTAGAAGGGGAGGAGTTATCGTGAAGAAGCACGCTAGTAGTAGTGATCTGGGGGAGGAAGTGGCAAGTGCCATAAAATTTTACGACCTAGGACTTCCGCTTACAAGATGCGTCCATTGATGATTTGGTTTTATAGTTTTTATGTTTGGGTTCTTTATTTCACATTGGGAATGTTC